TGAAAATAAATTGAATTTTGCTATTTGTACGTCGGGGTCTCACAATGGGAGGGCCACGTCTAATAAAAAAATCATTGGCCCTCTTATTATGAGGGGGGCTATACACTGGATACCCATACCAAAACCCAAATAAATTTAATGTAAAAGTAATAGGGATTTTCTTTAAAACAAGGGTGTCAATACCATAATCACCAATCTAAAAACAGCCAAGGAAAGAACAAACTCCAGATTGAGCCACTAAAAATGTCGAAAGATGATTCAAGTTTAATCTACTGTCAGAAATGGAAAAATATATGATGTACACATGCTTTAATGAATTTCCAACAGTCCCAACTTGATTAAGCCAAATAGAGAAGTTTATATATATATATATAAAGAATTTGACTAGGCAATATATATAAACAAAATAAGAAAATTTGGCCAGACTAACGGCATGAGGTCGCCCGTTGAAAAACGAAAGTTTTGAAGCTTAATCAAAAATCAATTTAAATCTGCTCTCATACTATGTTAGAATATTAGAAGCTCCAGCTGAGTCACCACGGCATATTGAATCACCATAAGTATTCCACCTCCACTTGAGTTGTCAAACTTGCTTGAATCACCATGAGAAACATGATCAACAAGATGACAACTAGCTCTGCCTAAGTTATCGGGAAGTACTTCAATATCATTACTCGAATTACCACGAGCAACCCGATCACAATCAACTCTACCCGAGATACCTCTTATCGAACCATAAGGTGCAGTGCTTTCAAAGTGATCGTCGAACCTTCCAAGATATATAACTGATCCTTACATTGCTTCCCCTACAATATACAACTCAAAATTTAGGTATTTTATTCATTCATTCATATTCTTCCTTACAATATTAAGGGGATAAATAGTCACCGTATGTCCATGGAATGTTATAGTTTAGGAATATAAATCTGCCTAGTATAATTCTATTCTAGGAAATATGTTCCTGTCAATCTTTGTATGGAAGTATACCAACTTGGAATTGATTCTAAAATCTTCAACAATACAAACAAAAAATCTGCCATAACAAAAAAATCTTGTTGTGATTCGAAAGCGGAATTTCATACTTCATACTTGCCATCTCGAAACCATCAAACATTATTAATCAAACATTACTTTAATATAAGACCAAACTAGCTCTCCCAAGAACTGCCCGAACCCTGGGCTCTGATACTATTTTGTTGAGAAATCGGTCCAAACGTTTAAAGGCAAAAATAATATAAGTAATATGAAAATAATGGATCACAAAAAAAAAAAAGATGGAAAACCACGTACAGAGACGGAGAGATATTATAATCAATAGTATGGAATTACAAATGATCTCTTGGGCCAATAACTAATTGGACAATTGGTCAACTAATACAATGAGTAAAACCAATAATGGAGAATTTGAGATGAAATATGAGTCAAATTCACCTTGAACTCCTTTAAGACATCTTCAAGTCTACTACAAATTCTCAATACTCCTCAAACAATATTTCCAATCAAATACTTAATGAGAATTCGGCTCACAACCCAATTCTAACAAAATTTATAAAGATATTATTTTTAACTTAAAGTGGGGATCACATCTAAAT